AAAAGTGGGGGAGCCGGTCGCTTTTGACTGATTTCCCACTATTGTGGTGAAGAATTCATGAATGAAGCATGAAGTGGATAAAATGGAAGGAATTTGCTGCTTCACCAGATATTCATCACGCGCTTGACAGCCGTTAGTGATGGGGGGAGGCGGTCATGTCGAATTACCTAAAGAGGGGGGGGGGGTCGCAAAAATTTTGAAGTGTGAACGCGAGGTTGACACTACTTCCAAATCATCAGTGATCAACGTGACATTCGATCTCTATTTCCTATTCCTTTCGCATTGGAAATAACATCGGAAGTATCTGGAGCAATGATTTTGTACTCCTGCTGACTTTTGCAACTTGCCAACTCTTTATTATAGGGCGCCATTCGCTGCGGGACTCACTGCCTCCAATCACTGTGATCCCTTCAAAATCCGAATCGATCGCGTTTGATTTCATTGACGTCGTTCTTCTCTGCGTTATTCTGGGCTATCTCCTCGGATCACCATGGGGTTGAAGATCTGAACACTACTATGGTTCGATCCTGTCACGAATATCAACCATTTTGAATCTGACTATTTTGAGGGTTGGACGTGATTCACTTCACATTAGTTTGTCATCCTTCAACTCCTAATCACTTCATTATATAAACCAGAACTTTGGTGTGTCGGTTTGTCGGTGTGTGTGTGTCGTTCTGTCCGTCCGGACCAACCGCTCACAAAACCAGGGAGTACGAAGGGCAACACTTCGTGATGTTGATGTCATGATCATGATAACACCACAACGGCTATATAAACACCGATCGAGCACACTCAGCCTCGCGCCCCACAACTTAGTTTGCCAGAAATTTTTTCCATCCATAAACCTTCTCAAGTAAATTATTGATAACCGTGATCACGAATATGACACTTATTTTAGGCGTGGGCACCGTCAAACTGCATAGACATGGCGCGCCATTTGTTTCTACCAAATTCACTGAAAACTTGCACAGGGGTTATTCAGTGTCCTGCACGATGTGTCAGTCATTTTCAGCACTGGCGCCAACTAGCGACTCCGGACCTGATACCACTAGCACTAATTTGCCGCTCGCGCCCAAAACCATTGCCATGTTTGTGATCAGGATTTTGAATAATCCCTGTAAGCGAGCTTTCGAAGAATTGGTGAAAACAGGCTTTGTGTCTAATAAAATTTGGAGTCAACTTGGCGCCCACGCCAAAAATTAACGTCAAATGGCAATCGATAACTCTCATGGGAGAGTTTCAGCA